GCATATTTAGGCACTTGTTTGATGGCTTCTAAGAGGGGCAAATTGATCTCTACCTTCTTAAAGGTATCTAAAAGTTCTTGATCTAAGGCTTTATTCCTAGACTTTTGGCTAAGGAACTTACTCGGGAAGGGAGCTTTAGGTCTGACCATGTCTTCTACCCTTTCCCCTTGGTCTGAGTTATCATTCCCAGGTGTTTCTCTCACTGTTTCAGCCCCATGAGAACTGCTGTCAGTAGTCTTAGCTAACTCAAGGTTCACAACTTTAGGAACTTCTTTCTCACTCTCAACCCTATCCCTACCCTTAGGTTCAGGCAATTGTTTCTTATTCCTTAAAACCACAGCTTTTATGTTTTCTTTTGGATTTGGAAAAGGTTGAGAAGGGATTCTTTGATTCATTTGAGCCTGCAAGTTGCTTATAATCACATCAGTAGCTGTTTGTTTTTCTTGAACTTGTTTAAGAGTTGAATCGAAACTTGAAAACTTGTCATCCATTTTCTTAAGAATTTGTTCAAACATCTGGGCACTTCTATCTTGGCTAGGTTGATGATTTACATTCAGATTTCCCCTATTTGCTTGATTAAAATTTTGATTATTGTTTTGAGGAGGACCATATCTGAGATTTGGATGATCCTTCCAGCCCTCATTATAAGAATTTGAGTATGGATCATATTTTATTTGTTGGTTGTTGTAAAAAACAGCGTTGACTTCAGGATTTTGAAGGGTTGGACCATAGTCACATAAATCGCGGTACGTTTCGGTACGGGTACGAAATTCGCTAGAGGTAACAAATTCGGTACGAAGGGGGGTAGGTCCATTTCGGTACGAAGCGGTACGAAGCGGTACAGTGTACCATGTATTCGGTTCGGCGTACCAAAAGTGAAAACATAAGTAAACAAAAATAGATAAAAATAAGTATAATATTTAATTGTGAATTGAATTTTAAATTAAATATTAAATGGTGAGAATGGGAAAGAGAAATATTTAATTGGGAATGTGGAACGTGCCTGAGAAGTGGAACATATTCAATTTACAAAGACTTGGGAAAGAGAAATTGTTGAAAAGGGAAAGAGGCAAACTGGGAAGAGGAAGTCGACGTTGCTTTGCTCGGAGGAGGAAGTCGAGGAAGTCGCCACTGGTACGCTGTACCACCGGCGATGGGTGCGATGTACCTGGGTATTTGGATCGCCTTACCATCGCGATTGGGATCGCCGTACCATCGCGATTGGGAGCGCTGTACCATCGCGATTTGGATCGCCCGTACCGGTTGCGATCGGATCGCATGCGACTTGCGATTGGGTACGAATCGTACCAATACGGAAGTCGCGGCTCTGGGAGCGAATTTTGTGACTATGGGTTGGACAAGCATCAGTTGCATGCCCTTCTAGACAACATACTCCACAATGGATCCCCCTAACATTCCCACCCCCAGAAACAAGTTTTGACATCATACAGGTGAGTTCAGAAAGCTTTTGTTCAATTGATTTACTTTCAAGTTCATTGACTTTTTTAACCAGTGTCTCTCTTGTTCCAAATTGTTGGGTGTTTTGAGCAATCAAGTTAAAAAGCTCCCTAGCTTGAGTAGGGGTTTTGTTAACAAGGGCTCCTCCACTTGCAGCATCTACATTATTCCTATCAGTGGGAAGGAGTCCTTCATAAAAATATTGAATCAACAATTGTTCAGAAATTTGATGTTGTAAGCATGAAGCACAAAGCTTGTTAAACCTCTCCCAATATTCAGAAAAATTTTCACCTATC